TACTCAACCACAAGGCAACGATGATGCCTCAGGTCAAAGGACTACTTACATTATTCCAACCATTAGAGTTACTTGCTTGACATGTGAGTAAACCTCCATGCAAGTACTCTCGTTCGATTGTGTTCAGTGAACTCATTCCCTTAATGAGCACCTACATACTTGTCTTAGTGTCACTACATGAATGGGATGAGACTTTCCATCCTTCTAATCGAAGCGGACATAGTACATACCGGTCTATGCATTGTCAGTATCCCTCCGACAATCCAATGACCAGGAACCTTTTGGACATGATGGTTATGTGAAGAAGGTCTCTGTAGTCTAACATCATTAGATTACTTTTTTAATCGATCCATTGTCCATGGATTCACCATTTAGGACATATATCGTTGATAGAGATAGTCCTAAATAGTATCTTCGCCATTTGATGTATAAGAGTCATCTATACATCCATTTATTGTCCTGAAAGGTTTCTTCCAAAGATTGACTTTTAGGGCATATTTCCAACAAGAATCACATCTCAGAACTCTTATCAATAGAATACACAATTCACATAAAGTACATCCTCGAGGACATTCTACAATAGTTTGAGACCCATTTACCACAAGTCAACCGTCGACGGATGGGTCTATAACCTTGCAAAACTCAATCTGGAAGATCCGCATCTCAGATTCCTAATCCTCAACCTCCAAAGATCCACATTATACTTCTAGAATAACATACTAAAATTTCATTACGATCCAACTGTCGGATCTCCGTCAATTGCCTAAAACTAAGTGACAGTTAACATTTATTTTTTATAAACTTATAAATCCAATTCGGGCAGATCCGTATGTCTGATTCCCGATCCGTAAGTTCCTATGATCCTCAAATATTATGCACTATAATGTATTAAAGTTTGGTGACGATCCAACGGTTGGATCGTCGATTCATATATTTGACCTATTCATGTGTCGAAATGAAACTAAGCCCAAATAATGAAATTACTTCATACGGATATAAATTATGAACCTAGGGCATCTAGTGGCACTTAAATAAAACATCATTGGCCCACAGGCCACGTGTCACCTTACGTGCCGTCGTGGGTGACGGTCAGCCGCCCCTTGTCACATCCCGACCCGGGTCCCTACCAAATCCTGAGCTCGACTCCACCATAGCACGATATTGTCTGCTTTGGGTCTCGATCACGCCCTCACGGTTTTGTTTCTAGGAACTCACGCGAGCAAAACTTCCCAGTGAGTTACCCATCATGGGATTGCTCTCGCTTAACTTAGAAGTTCTGATGGAACCCAAAGCCAATGAGCTCCCAAAAGGCCTCGTGCTAGGTAGAGATGAGAATATACATATAAGGCTTACAGGATCCACTCCCTTGGGCAATGTGGGATGTTACAATCTACCCCCTTTAGGGGCTCGACGTCCTTGTCAGTGCACATCCGGCCAGGGATTGGCTCTGATACCAAATTGTCACATCCCGGGCTGGACTCCACCGTAGCACGATATTGTCCGCTTTAGGCCCAGACCGTGCCCTCACGGTTTTGTTTCTAGGAACTCACACGAGAACTTCCCAATGGGTCACCCATCATGGGAATGCTCTTGCCCGAACTCGCTTAACTTTGGATTCGAGCGAAAGCATTCCCATGATGGGTGACCCACTGGGAAGTTCTCGTGTGAGTTCCTAGAAACAAAACCGTGAAGGTATGGTCAGGGCCCAAAGCGGACAATATCATGCTACGGTGGAGTCGAGCCAGGGATGTTGTGGGGGCCCAGGCTAGGATGTGACAATTACATTATTCTTTATGAACCTTTAACTAAGCAAAAACTCTATTTAAATAAACAAAATCCACAGTAACAGAATACATCATACATACAACAATGACTTCTCATCTTAAAGGTGTAAAGAAAATCAACAATGACGATCAAGTATGTAAAGTATTGCGCGAGTACAACAAAGATAATCCAAGTAGCACTAAGAAAATTTCAACAATGGTTGTTATAGAAAAATTTAACTTGCAAGTAATGTTCTAAAAGTCACTAGGCATCAGTCTGCAAGGAAGAACCTAGCACCTAGAGGTATAGGATGGAGCTTAGGAGATTTTTTATTTTAATTGAATTTATTATATAACATATAAACAATTTCTAATTACCTACTAATTCTTGTATTGTTAAACCTAAAATCCAAAAATAAAGCAATTTTATGCCAAAATTTAAAAGAGCCTACACTAAAATGGAAAAAAAAAAGGAACATTTATTAATTAGCACTTCAAAAATTCTCCTTTTCCTTTCATAAATATATTTTTCTTTCTAATTATAGAAAGTGTTGAGAGCGAAATGAAATTTTTAGAATGCAAATAACTATTCTTATAAAATAATTAATTTGAATTCATTTATGTTACCCTTAATTTATTATAAAGATTCTTTTTTTTTTTGGCTTTTTATATGATTGCTAATCCTAAATGGTGCATTATTGCTCACCACTCTCAAATGGTGGTAATTATCACATATCCTATTACCACCGTTAGATGAGTCTAAATTGTGACATTTGTGTCTACTCACTATACAAATCTCGAAATTTAAACTTATCTAATGGTGATAAACAGAGTGGTGAGCATCACCTTCATTTGAGGGTGGTGACCAAAAATATTCTTGATCCTAAATAGAATAATGGATTCCAAAACATTCTTCATTCTTCTTTGTTGTTTGTCTTCTTCCCTTCTCTGTTCGTCTTCCTCATCTATTTGTAGGTGTGAGTCTTCGTTTCTCCTCTTTTTTTTATTATTTTTTTTTCCAATTTTCAAAATTTCAGATCTTATTGCAATCGTGGGTTGCGAGCCATCGATTGATCTTAGGTGTGTGGGCACGGCTTGTGAGGGAGGGTTTGGGTTGTGGGTGGCGGGCAATGGATCGTGCGGCCTCAACGTTCGCTTGCCTCAATACCTTCCTGTGGGTGGTGGTCTTTTACCGATTAGTGTGTCGGCTAGGCTCTACCTCAACCTCCTAGATCGCCCAATTGTCGCCTAACATCCGACTAAGCTGCGCCTAATTGTTTTACCGATTATGGCCTACTCGTGGCAACTAACCAACGCCTAGGAAGCCACCTAGAGCACTTTTCATAACACTGCTCGCAAGTGAGTCAACAAAGATAATTCATGTGTCACACCATACCTTATTATCATGTTAAAAAAAAAAAAAATTAGAGATGAGATTTAAAGTGACATCAATTTCAAGAAGAAACATACAATGATTGAGTCATATTTTAGAAAGACCTAATAGTCAAATCATAAGCACTATGTATCAAGGAAATATTAATTTATATATTATGTGAGACCTATATGAATTTTTATAATATATTATCGCATAAATTAGAGAATTATTAATTTAACAATTGTATGGAATGCTAAAAAACCCCCAACATTTTATATCATGGAATGCTAACAATTGCAAGTTCTTATTCCGGTCCATAATTTCACTAGTCCCCAACCGTGTGAAATTCTATCTGTTATATCAACATTTATCCAATCAATTATTTCATACGGTATTAATAGATACTGTATTAAAAAATAACTCTTTGTGACGAGTTTGGAAGATGGAGAATATTTGGGTTCTTTTTCTGATGCTTGAATGGTTTATTTTTCCTCTTCTTTGCAGATTTGTTCCCTTTTTTTTTTTAAGAAAAACCAGAAACCCAGTAGGGGGTGAAAGGCTGCTACACGGTGTACGAAGAAGAAAAAAGAGCGGGGCTAACAGTGTATATTAATTGAGAGGAAACTTAATTGTGAGATATATGTTTTTTAGTCGAAATTGTGAGAACTTTAAATATAAATAAATTATAAAAGGGAAGTATTATTGACATTCAAAAAATCTCATTCTATACTCCTTACAAGTATATTTTTCTTTCTAAATATAGAAAGTTTGGAGTGTAGAATGAGAAATTTGGAGTGCCAATAACAATTCCCTTATAAAAACTTATACAGATCTTTAATGCATGGCAAAATTGGAATGGTTAGTAGTGTCACTCAACACAATCTAGCGGTAAGTAAAGTTCAACATAGTTTTTCTAAATATGACCCTATCATTTTTTTGCCTCGTCCAATGATTTTGAAAGAATTAAAAAGAAATAATATGTTCTTTTTTTCCTTCTACTATATGCAATATTTTATACTAGAGAAGAAAAGAGTTTAAATCGAGCACGTAGTAGGTTCAAAAGAAAAGCCGTAACTATCAGAGCAATCAACCAAGATTCTAAAAGAAGCAAGGAATACCAATTGGCTCTTATGTAGATACTCCTTTCAACCGGAATAGAAAATAAAAGGGTGCACCTCTGCTTCCGAACCTCGCTACCCCGTAACTATTACAATGAAAAAATAATATGTTGAGTGCACGATAAATGAATGAGAAATGCTAAGGAGACTCTCTCTAGGCAGGATTCTCCATGGACTTTTTGTTACCTTATATTTTTTGCACAATATTTTATAATGTTGGTACGTATACTAAAAACATGAGGTGACGTGCAAAATCCTACTTTTGAAAAGCCTACTTAACATTCTAATGAATAATTAGTACTAATTATTAATTACTCAATATTTTAACTTTGTGAGCTGGTCAGTTCAAAAAATGAAGTGTTTTTCGTTTTTAAAAGTTAAATACTATTAAATATCATTGGACCGAATCAGTATATTTACGTAGAGCTGATTCCATTCTAATAATTGAGAAATTTTTGGGAGTGACGGAGCACCACCTCAACAAAGTCAAGTGGTGTTCCCAACCTATTAAATGTTGACAGCTAAATGTTGTCATTTGTTAACTTAAAAAATACTTGAAAAAGCTGAAAACTCAAAAACCAAAAGATTCTTCATAACTCTGTTAACATCTCCGTTTCTTTGTTTCAAATCAAAAGCTTCTTGCGAACTTCAAGGGAAGTTGCAGACTCAATTCCCTCTTCTTTCTTTGAAAAATAACAACAATTCCCTCCATTTCTCACAGACTCGAACCCAGATCAAGGTATTATGGATGAAGACTCAAACCCAGACCAAGGTATTACGGATGGAGACTCAAACCCAGACGAAAGTAGCTTTCTGCAGGTAGACTCAAACCCAGACGAAGGTAGCTTTCTGCAAGTAGACTCAAACCCAGACCAAGGTATTTGATTTTGCCTTTTAATAAGTTGTATGTGTGAGCTCTTAAACATTTTGCATGATTATAGGACACTACTTTTTTGCTCTTGGTCATGATATTATTTTTTAATAAAATTTGATTATTGTTGATCTCCCAATGAATAATGCAGTCATTAATGTCGAAGGCAATGTAGAAAATATTCAATGCAATGCTCGAGAAAAAACTCCACCTATTGTAAGTTTTGAATAGAGTTATGCTGGAGATTTGTATGGAAAGATTGTGAAAAATGAGCAAGAAGCTTATGATCTCTATAATGAGTATGCAGCACGCACTGGCTTTAGCATTCGAAAGAAACAGAGAAGATATGACAAAAATGGAGATCTTTCAACACTTAATTTTTGTTGTTCAAAAGAAGGTTTTAGGCAAGATAGTGACCCTTGTGAAGAGAAAAAGACTAACAGATTGGACGAGAGAACAGGCTGCCAAGCCAAAATTCAATTTTTACTAGAAGATGGTGAGTGGAAAGTCTCTACCTTTGATCCTGAACACAATCATGAACTTGCAATGCCGGAGGAAAGACAATTTTTAAGATCAAATCGTAAAATTTTAGAAGATGATATGGGTGTGATTAAAACCATGGTGAATGCAGGTATAAGAACTACAAATACGTACTCGTATTTAGCAGAAGAAGTCGGCGAGTCTCAAAATGTTGGGTTTACGAAAACAAATTGCTACAATTTTGTTAGTAGGGAAAAAAGAATTATGCTTGAAGCAGGGGATGCTCAAAGCTTGATCAATCATTTTAAGCGCAAGCAAGTTGAAGATCCAATGTTCTTCTACACGGTGCAAGTTGATCAAGAAAATCAAATGACTAACTTTTTCTGGAGGGATGGAAGGTCCATAATTGATTATGAGTGCTTCGGGGACGTAGTAATATTTGATACTACATATCGAACCAATAAGTACAACATGATTTGTGCTCCTTTCGTTTGTGCCTTTTTGCTGGATGAGAAGACTGCTACGTTTGAATGGTTGTTTGAGGCATTCTTAGAATCAATGGGGAATCGAAAGCCTAGAACCATTTTCACTAACCAATGTCAAGCTATGGCAAATGCCATTATGGTGGTGTTTCCTGAGACATGCCATCGTTTATGCACATGGCACATATCAATGAATGCTACAAGGAATATACCAACACTTTATGGAATCCCTGAGTTCAAGAGGCTATTCAACAAGTGTCTTGACGGATGTCAAACAGAGTTAGAATTTCAGCAGACTTGGGATGCAATGATTGAGGAATTTAACGTTGCACAAACATATGGCTTAAAGGTCTTTATGCCATTCGTGAGAAGTGGTGTCCAGTGTTTAGCCAAGATGCATTCTCTGTGAGGATAAAATCCACACAAAGAAGTGAGAGCATGAATAATGTTTTCCATCGTATGTCTACTAAAACGATGACTCTTACTGAATTTGTGCTTCATTATGAAAAACAAGCAAATGGCATGCATTCAAAAGAATTAGAAGAAACCTTTCGTTGCAAGCAAGGTTTGCCTTCTACAGCAGCTAAAAAAAATGGTTTTCTTAAACGTGCTGCAAGTGTCTACACGAGAAAAATTTATAAATTTCTTGCGTATGAGTTTGTTGGCAGTTTGGCGGTAAAAATGCATGAAGTTGAAAGTGATGGAACCTTCCAAACCTTTGAACTTAATGAGGAGGGTCACAGAACAGTTTATGTTGTCAAATTCAACTCCTCAACTTTAAACATCTCATGTATTTGCAAGAGGTTTGAATCCATGGGTTTGTTATGTCGTCATGCTCTATGGGTAATGAATGTAAAAGAAGTTTCTCAAATACCAATCAATACATATTGAAACGGTGGACGAAATACGCAAAGAAAGAACGGAATGAAAATGAGCATGGAGAATCTTTACATGTAAGTGACAATTCGTCAGTGACGTAGCGTCGGAATACTTTGATGCGGATTGCTTATGGTATATTGAGTATGGGAGCTGAGACAGAAAGTTGTCATAGAATTGCAATGAAAAAATTGAAAGAAATGGCACAATTGCTTGACAAAGAAATGAAGTCAAACGGGGAAGAAATTGCTAATAAAGAAAGCAATGACGTTTTGAATGATGCTACTGTTCGTGATACTGATGGAGTCAATAACTAATCTGATGAGGCACCGGTGTTGAATCCTCCGAGTGTGAGGCCAAAGGGAATAAGTAATGCTAGATTGAAAAGTCATATGGAGAAACATAAAAAGAAGACATCAAATGTTCTTGGCTCATCTAGTAAGAAACTTGTACATTTTAAATGTTTACATCTGTGTTATTCTTCATATATATATATATATATATTAATAGTAGTTGTTATTTACTTGTTCAGAGAAATCCAAACCACCAAGTAGTGGTGGTCCTTCACATACTGCCAATGCCAATGCTCATTCCCATTTAACTAATCAGGTAGCTAATTTGTATGTTTGATTTGGTTTTTCTATATACATTTTTTTAATTATTCATATTCGATATTCGATATCGATCAATTTGTTGTAGTTCTATCCAACTATGACAATGCTAACTGCCAATTCCCATGCTTGTTTCCCTTCACCTAATCAGGTAAACTAGTTTATATTTCTGAGCAAGATTTTATATATATTTTTTTCGATTATTCATGTTCCATATTGTATCAATGTTTGTAGCTCTATCCAACACTGAGTTTACTAACCACCAATGCACATGCTCGTTTCCCTTCATCAAATTAGGTAAACTAGTTCTATGTATGATTAAGTATATTTTATATATTTTATTTAATTATTTATGTTGGGTCTCGTATCAATGTTTGTAGTTCTATCCAACCACGAAATTGTCAACCACCAATGTCCAGACTGGTTTGCCTTTATCTAATCAGGTAAACAAGTTTATAGGTTTGAAATTTGCGTTGGTGTTCTCAATATTTATATATTACAATTTTCTTTTTCCTTTCAGAGTCCCAACTACAATTGGTCATGTTCCCCACCAAACTTTACCTTCACCAATGTGCTCCAAAGTCAAAACTGTATGACACATTTGAATTAGGTATTGTGTTTTTCCTTCTACCCTTTGCTTTGAATTAGTTATTTGTGTAAATTCATTGTTGAAGTTAAATTCTATGTAATGCAGGATGCCTTTCCTTGTGGCTTTGAGGAACATCAAGATGCTTGTAACTCCTAATTCTGATCATTTTAGACTTCACATCAAGATTTTAGTGGTTTTGACAAACATCAAGTTCATGAGAGAATGTTTTCTTGTTGTACTATATCAGACTTGTTATCATAAATCTGAAGCTCCATAATTTGACATTAGAATATGTAGCTTGGAAGTTTGGAATTTGACATTAGAATACATGTGACTTGAAAATGGTTAAATTTGATTTTGGATTAAAATGTGATGGTACAAGAAGTTTGGATTAACCCCAGAAATGAGTTTGGGATTTAACCCCAAATAGTGATGTCTGTTTATGCTGAAACATAAATGAATTTGGGATTTAACCCCATATAGTGCTTAAAGTGTCAGATTTGCAAAGATAGAATGCAGGACACGGACACGGGAAGTCTTGTAACTTTACCTTCATTAAATCTTGGGGCGACATTTGTTTAGTGGATTGGATCGATATATTCAACCATTTAGTGGAGACTAGAGATGATTAATGAAGTTGATAATGAACCATTGATCATCCAATTTTCTTGCTTAGACCTCTAGATTGCATTTGGTAGCTCCAGTAAAACGACATAAGGTTTTCTTATTTTCGAGTTGTGAACAGGTAATAAACAGAGTTTGTTTGAAGTTCTGCAAGTGTTGTATAAGGATGGAATAGAGCACAGGCTGTATTCAATGATACTCACATGTGCAAAATGCTAATCCTACGGTCTAAAGCTAACTGAGTTTTGAAGTGTAAAATCCCTAATTTCACTGCATTTGGATTGATCACAGTTTGTGACTTGTTAAACTTGATATCTTCTTGTACATTTTGGGAACTTGACAGCATAAAGAAGTGTTCATAAAAGCAAATTACACAATATCTACTAAAAAAACTTAGTGAAGGGACCCAGTTAGTCAACAAATAGGCGCCTCACACTTAAATATTAAAGAACAAAGAGAGAAAACCAAGCCGAACTCTTCAAAATTCGTTGGCACACATGCTTCATTGGCTCAATTGAATGTCTAATGCATACTTAGATACAACAATTCAAACAATAGCTCAGAAACAGTGCTGAAATTCCATTAGCATTAACCACACACTACCGGAACAGAGATCCTAGCAAAGCTACACCAATTAAATGACAAAGACTAAAAACCACAAGGATGAGGAAGAAGATGGACTTTAGATTACTGGAAGCCTGTTGTGATGAGGCCAAGTCTCCTTCCAGAATTTGGAAAACCCCTAAACTGGAAAAGCAAAAAAATTTAGCAGTAGCCCTTTTGTGATCGCCCGACAGTGCAAGAGCTTTTCAATTGAAATATGGGTTTGAGTCTGAGAAAACAACTTCAACATTTAAGGTTTTCAAACCATTTATTCTACCCATAAAAATCAAACAAAATTAAAAATCATACCTGCAGAAAGCTAAATTGGGTTTAGGGCAGCTCTACCACCACTTCCACAGCCACAACAAAAATAACCAACAACAACAACAGAAAGTGCAAGGGCAACGGAGGCCCTGACAATAAGAAGTTCAGGTACCGCGGCGTGTGCCAACCGAGCTAGGGCAAATGGGTGGCTGAGATCTGTAAGCCGCGTAAGCGCACGCGCAAGTGGCTCGGGACCTTCGCCACTACCGAGGATGCTCCCATGCCTACAACCGAGCCGCCATCATCCTTTACGGTTCTAGGGCCCAGCTCAACGTCCAGCTTTCCTATTCCTCGTCCCAGAACTCCACGCAGGGCTCATCTTCTTCCTCTTCCTCCTCCACCTCTTTGAGTCTACCTACAGAAAGCTACTTTCGTTTGGGTTTGAGTCTGTGAGAAATAGAGGAATTGTTGTTATTTTTCAAAGAAAGAAGAGGGAATTGAGTTTGCAACTTCCCTTGAAGTTCGCAAGAAACTTTTTTTTGAAACAAAGAAACGGAGATGTTAATAGAGTTATGAGGAATTTTTGGTTTTTGAGTTTTCAGCTTTTTCAAGTATTTTTTAAGTTAACAAATGACAACATCTAGCTATCAACATTTAATAGGTTGGGAACACTACATAGCTTTGTTGAGGTGGGGTTCCCGTCACTCCCAAAAATTTCTCCTAATAATTGGATACTGAGTATTGTCATGATTAATAAATGTCAGTTGCGGGAAAGATAACGATCATACCGACCCCCATTTGGGTATGAAGACATCACAAAAAATTGTGCATGTGGACGCAATCCCTATCATTATGGCGCGTCTGCTCCCAATCGCGGGGTTCAAGAGAATTGCAAATTAAAAATGCGGAAGAGGGTCTTTTCCTGATTCATTTTGTAGGGATCTTAAGAATTTTCTCATTCTAACCATTTATAGTACATCGTAATGTTAGTTTTTGTTAGATACTATTTGTATTTAATTTTAAATAAAAAATCAAATGATTTCAGACCGTATTATACATGGTAAATAATTAAATTAAATGTGAAGATCTTTAAAATTCACATAATTTGAATCCGCATGAGATTCAAATCCGAAAATGCTACTCTGTCATTCCACGATTTCACACCGTCGGACGTATTGACTTTAAATTAATTCAAAACTAGTCAGCTGGTAATTTTACATTCTGTCATCAACAATAAAAGCTATAACAAGCCGGATTTATGGACTTTTAAATTAATTAAAAATTAGTCATGTGATTTATACACCGACCCTTTACCCTATAAAAATATCCTAATTAACACTTCTCTTCCCACCACCACCACACAATTTCTTTCATTTCCATTTGCTTTTGTGTTTGCGTTTGTGTTTTGATTTCAAGAAAATGGGTTCGATTAGTTTGGCAGAAAAGCCGCATGCAGTTTGCATTCCATTCCCAGCTCAAGGTCACATAAACCCTATGCTGAACGTAGCCAAACTCCTCCACTTCAAAGGCTTTCACATAACCTTTGTCAATACACAGTTCAACCACAAACGCCTCCTTAAATCCCGAGGTTCCAACTCCCTTGACGGCCTTCCCTCTTTCCAGTTCGAGACCATTCCCGATGGGCTCCCTCCAACAAATGCCAACGTTACCCAAGACATACCATCTTTGTGTCATTCCACTAAGAAAACATGCTTGCCTCACTTTAGAGAGCTTTTGTCCAAGCTCAACTCTTCACGCGATTCGCCTTCTGTGAGTTGCATAGTTTCCGATGGTGTCATGAGCTTCACTCTTGATGCAGCTCAGGAACTAGGGATTCCCGAA